ACCGACGTGGCAAAAGGCCCTTTCACTTTTTCTTCTCCGAAAGAAATGCGAAAGACAACCACCCCCTTGCGCGCGTGTTTACGAAAGTCATAATAGTGCTTGGCCAAGGCCGAGTGGGCTCGGGTGTGGTTATATCTTCTCGCAAAACGCTCAGCGTGGTGTCGTCGCCCTGGTGTAAGGATCGCGTTGCCAGGGAAGAGATCCAAGGTAAAATTAACAACGCGGCCTTGCCCATCCTCTCGCCCTCACTCGCCAAAGATTGATGGTCCAACCGAGAAATGTTATTATGTATATGAGAAGCGCCACTTCCGCATTTGAATATCATTTGCCGTGCGAATGGGAAGGCGGGATATTGTTTGTTATTTACCTCGTGTCTTTCATTCTAATGGCCATAGCGTGATATGATTTCGTAGAGGGGGCTGATTTTTAACGACTTGGGTGGAGGACGCCTCTTTCCAATGATTTAGCCGCGTTCGTTTTATGCAAATTCTTTTTTTTTTTTTTTTTGCCTTTTCTACGTTGTGTCGTCGCGGTGCCTTGGACATTTTAATGGGCGGGTGAAGGTGAAAATCAAATCGTCCCTGTCTTCAACGCGTTTTTTCTCTTTCAGGGAATATTTCAGAAGTGTTGTCACGTTACTCACGTTACTCCTGGAAATTCCGCTGTACTGAAGGTTCGACAGAAGATTTTGGAATTGAAAGTCCGATTATGAAAAAAATAAGTTTTCCGATCAAGATTAGGCTTTGAAACTCTACACTGTTGAATCCAATTGAACCACTACAAAGACAATGTCGATTCGTAATTGTTATCTCTGTTCGTCATACAGATCAATCAATCAATCGAATGCATGACGATGATCCAAACAGCGATAGACAAACGGTAATAAATCAAAGGACCTGTCTCCTCGTCGGATGTATCATCGCGGACCCGTAATGTTTTTTCTGTTCTTAATTTCAGAAGAGGAGGGGAAAAAGCTACGCCCGCGTGTCGCGCAATACATAACGTGCGCAGCTTCTGATTTACAACGGACTTGTTGGGCTCGTCTTCTTCGCGCGCAACAATGTGACTCAGCACGCGGCAACCGATATTTATCCCTTACTAACAATGACCCATTTAAGCCTCACGGTCTTGGCCTCGGCTAGCTCCTAAGTCTCCCGCCTGCTGCCTGCTGCTGCTGCTGCTGCTGCTGCTCGCCGGTGAGGGAACGAAATCATATTTTTCCTTTTCATGAGGAGACCCAAACAAAACACTCTCCGACCCCATCTTATACGCAAGGCCGATGCGGCTTACATGTTTTTTTCTCTTTATGCTGGATGGCTTCTTCTCTGAATTAATATCATTTCCCTGTTGATTTTTTAGCGCTTTAGACGAAAAAACTAGGTTTTAGCTTATTCCACTAAGGGTCTATTTATATTTTGATTGGTGCGTGATAAACGCCTGAGGTTATTTAAATTTGATAATTAGTCTTACATAATTGGAGCAGTTTCCAGTTTCCTTGAATGATGTCAATCGCATGAGCTATCTTTTAACCGATTAAGCAACTTTTTAACTGGTATAATTAGTATGTAATAAAACGATTCTGTGTTCCTTCGATTGGAACAAATAAAAGATACCAATAATATTTTTTTGTGGATGTAATTTTTATAAAAAATAGTTTATACATTTCACATTTTATCTAGTAAAATTATCTAAATGTTGCTTTTAATATGCAATGTAGAATGTTTCAATTGCTATAAATAAAAATAGCTCAAGCTAAATTTAGTTAACGTCAATTTTTTTTCCTTTTTTTTTTTATAAATTGTCGAACGTTTGAAACATCAAATTTATTTCGGTTGATACGATTGCAATCTGCATCTGTATCGAAAGTGCGCCTAAGTTATTCGTGTATAAAAAAAATCTAAGTAGCATCGAAATGCAAAGTTGAATATTATATTTTGAAAAAATGTCACGGCTTGTTGTGGAGGGGTCATAAAGTAAAATGAATTTTCATTACGATGAATCCGGTAATTAGATAATCTAATAGCGCAGCTTGTCTTCTCGAAAATCGCATGCAGAGAGCGAACTTGGTCTAAAATTGAGGCAAAATACACGAAGGCAACAATCGACGACAAGGTTGTAGAGCATCGCAACAGACAGCCCTAAAAAAGCAAATGAATTCCCTCGCATTCCTCGATATATTCCCGCACAATGCCACACACGCGCGCGCACACACACACTCACGCACTCGCGTCGGTATTATAAACGGAAAGACAGGCCAAGGTCGTTTTCGGCACAAGCATTGAGCTAATTGACGCCGCCTCGTTTTCATAGCAAAGAGATGCAGTAATATAAGAAAGCCGAGCGTTATACAAGCGCTCGCGGGGCCAATAGACGTCATAAATAATCCCCGCGCGGCGGCGGCGGCGGCGGCGGCGGCAGCGGCGGCGATGTTCTTTTCACTTTCGTTCGCGCCAGCAGTAAGGCAGAGCAGTGGAGCGCTTGCGCGCGTGAAAATCTAGGTCAGCGGGTCAACGGGCCATTGGCCGTGTTCCACTTTCCAGTTTCCTTTCGCTCTTCCTCGGGCCGCTACCGCCACGCGTGTACGTGTGTGTGTATTACGCTCAGCTGCCACAGAAACAGAACCAGCGCGCTCTCGCTACGATCTATTATACTGGGTCTTAACGGATCATCTCGACCTTTTTTCTTCACTTGCTTCCTTTCTTACTTGTTTGGGTCTCTCTCTCTCTCTCTCTCTCTCTCTCTCTCTCTCTCTCTCTCTCGTTTGCTCTTACATTTGCTCGCGTGATGAAGGCTTGGCTGAGATTGACAAACTTCGTTGTTATTTATTAACCGAATTCTTTTCTTTTTTGTCTACTTTATTTATGAAAAGTATTCGTGTCGCAAATGAATGTTCAATTTTTTTTCACCACTCGTTAAAATTATTTAAATTGAGACGTATGGAAATTGTTTATTGTAATGATGCATTGTATGCAATTGGGGTGATAAATAATAAGGTGGACAGGGCCTCGCGAGGTGTCGACAAAAATTACAGGCATGGGAGCGCGAAAAAGGGGAAACATATTACTTATATACCAACCCGAGCGACGCTTTAAAAACGAGAGCGCATGCATAATTTATGGACTTGTATTATACTTCTTGGCACTTTCTGCGGAACGCGTGCCGGGGAAAAGTGCAACGCTCCAGTAAGAAATCTTTGAACGATATGTATCACTGGTATATTTAGCAGTTTTTGCTGAAAGACAATTCTTCATTGAATTGATCTCGCTGTCGTGATTTCGCTTGTTCTGACCGAAAGCAATTTTTTGCGCCGATTGATTTCTTCATTGCTTTAAAAAGTAACAGTGAAATTTACGGATTTTTCTCACTTGTTCTCGAAGTGGGGTGGATTGAAAATTTCAACGACTTTTCATCTTTCGGATTCACTTCCAAAGACAAACGTCGATCGAATGTTTTCGGATGTCAAAAATTTCTCGAGGGAAAAAAAAAATGTATTTTCGCGCAATTTACAAATTTCACACAACAAAGCTCGCGAAGCGAAGCGAAAAAATGTCTTTGAAGCAACAAACTCATCACTTGTCAAGGCAAGTATACGGTAGTATGCACAAGACTGCGTAACTACGCAACGTCATTACAATAACTCATTTGTCCGATCTCTTTTTCTGTGCTCTTCGTTTTCTTCGTTCTTTCTTATTTCTTTTTGAGGGCAACGCGTCAATTGAGATAGACAGGAGCCCGGAAATCCAGCTTTCACTTTCCCTCGCGCGCTCTCCCTTGAGTACAGTTTCACACGTTCAACATAAAACTGCCGCGCGTATATAATACTTTCCCCTTTGACACGGTCGCGCTTGCTCTCGATCTTCGAAAACAGAACAAAAAAGAAACACAAAGGATCTCGTCTGCGCGAAATGGGGTTTTTGGGTTACACGCTCACGCAAGGATGCGCGGACAAGTCGGCCAAAACGGTTTAGCCGAAATCGAGTGAGTGAGAGAGAGAGAGAAAGGAGAACTCCTACACAGCCGCTCTCACTTTCTTTTGCGCCTTTCACTTTTGTTTGCGCTCGATTTATACGTATTTTTCTTTGTGCTGTTTGCACGAAGAGCGAAGAGCGCTAAATGCACTGCGCGACGCGGATAATTCGACGCTCTCCTGCGTGGCTAATGATGGGTATTATAGAGTTGAGTATCGGCGAATACGGCCAAAGAAATGATGTACTCATTGAGTCATTGTTCATTTTCTGCGATTCGCTACTGTGCAATTCTTTCTAATTGCAATATCGCCTACTATTATTACTCGAATCCTACCTTTTAGATCAAATAAAGAAAACGCTCTCTCGCACCTAACTTCTTGACAATTTTACGCTAAGAAATAGGTTGCAGTTTTTGTTTTAAAAACACCGATGAAGTTAATGCAAATTTCGGAAATTAAAATACACTGCAAATTTTTATTTTCACATCGGTATAATATATTAAAAATTTATATTAAAATATAATTGGATAGATAGTTTTACATTTAAAAGATATAGATCGAAAAAAATTCAGCAATACTTTTACACAAAGAAACAAAGAAAAAAGATTTCTGAATAAATCGCACACAGTTATCCACTCGCAACCGTTGTCATATTCATGTACAGTCTCAACCAAAAAGAAAAGAACGATCGTAAGTACATACGATAAGACGTACTTCGATATATATACGCAATGACCGTCAGCTCATCGTCCTCGGAGAACACACGTAATTGATCCTAGCCAGGCGAAAATCGAGTGTTCTGCCCATTAATATTACGTAAAGTCCTCGGGTGGTCCTCGACGCTCGCACACGAGTGTGTGTATGTGAGTGAGACGAGCTTCAAGGCGGTAGCAGGCGGCGGCAGCAGCTTTCGCAACACGTGACGGCAGCTTTCTATTTCGAAAGGTGCTCCGTGGAACATCTGCTGCCGTTGTTGTCGCAAGGTTGGTCCAGACAACGTCAGATCCTTGGGAGCTGCAATCAACTTTGACATCGGTCAAGATTATATCCCGTCTATCTATACGTAGGGATGTGTTAATGCGGTACACTTCTTTTCCGAAGGATGACCCGATTTTAGAAGTCGTCGCGCGGCCTTTGAAAGCGAAAATATTTACGACCCGTTTATTATCCTTACAACAAACGTTGCTTTTTTTTTCTTTTGTGTCTTGTACATGGCCGAGGGCTGCGTGTTTTGCACCAGCGTTTCTCTCTCGTCATTTTCACTGCCTCGCACACGCGTCCGAGCACTTTCACGTTTTCACTTTTTCCTCTCTTTTTTGGGGTCATCGCGAGCGCCTGTGCCACGCGCCCTTAAAAGTCGACAACGATAGATTACCAGAGTAATAGAGAGAGACTAAACGCCAATAATCGTAAATACACAAAACCATAAAACTCGCTAACAGGGGGAGCAAGCCTGGCATACCTACAGACGCGACTTTTTTAACTGTGAAAACGAGACGACTTTCCATCTTTCAAAATGGAAATTTATGGATGTTATTTTGGGAAATCATTTATGGTTCAGATTAAATTAAGAAATTGCAATATGAACGTTTTTCCAGATAAAATATATCAAAAATTAATATTTCCGCAAAATGAGTTATTGCTAAAGTGATATCGTTGCACAAATCGAAAGAGAGGAATTTCAAAGCGTTAAATGATTAGTGCAGATAGCACTCAATAGAATAAATAATTTACAGCCTAGTCTCCTAAGATTATCTGCGTGAATTCCATTTTAATAGCTCTAATACGAATTGGCGCGCAGAATACACAGCTAGGGTGCGAATAAATTCAGTCTTGCGTACTTTTATACTCTAGACTTGAATTTTTCGAGCGAACAATCAACTAACGGAATCTAGAAGTAGGCGATGAATTTAATGGATGTCTACAAATAAGTGTGTCAAAGGTGTGATCTCTCCGATCTACTTCTACAATACTGATCCTATGATAGTCAATTTACTACATTGTTGTCATTTCTATAATCATTATACAGAAATCACGTAGAAAATGACAAGTCAAATGCAAATTCAGTCCCGAGTTTATCTATCGAATGATTTTTTCTTATTTGAAATTCTATAAACGCAAGCATTAAATAATAAAAAAATTTAGAATAAGTGTGTACTGTCTGCCAAATGTTTTTGCAGCAATCATTTTCAATACCATTTAAATAATTTACAATATTTCAAAATATTGAATAAGCCTTCTGATAAGCTTGTGATTAAATTCGAATATAAACAGATCAAGAGATAGATTTACAATAATTAAATATATAGCTAGTAGACTGCTTGAGAGTTTTTTTTTTATTTTTTTGATAAGATTATACATCAGTACTGCTAATCTCGACAGATTTTCGTATAATATCGAAGAAAGAAATTCTGTGTTTTTCATTGTACCATACAATCAATTGAGATAGATCGTTCATTCTTCGTTGCGGTTGTCGTTAGTTTTAACTTGTATCGTCACGATGATCGATATTTATAAATATAGAATTAGTTTGAAGTAACCTCATGAAATAATTTAAGGATTGGTTTCGATAATAAGTAAGTAGCAATTACAATTAAAATATAAAAAGCGTGAGATGTGCTCGTGACAAAGTGATTGTCAAAAACAGATCTGATCTGTAATGGAAATAGACGATAAATATAAAAACAAAGTAATCCAGACAGATGTTGCCCAGTGCGCGTATGATCTCGTAAGACAATGCGCAGGCGCGTCGTTAAATTTTATTATCCGTGTTTTATAGCTGGAAGGTTTCGCTCTTCTACACCCGGCGCACACCTCTTTCCTCGGGAATCCGGAAAAAAATTTAAAATTTTTTTTTAGGCTAACCTTGATAGCCATCGAGTTCTACGTTTTGGTATTCGTAATCGTTGGTAAGTGACATTCTATACTCCCTGTCATATTTCCATATAGCCGCACAACAGTTTGGAAGAGAAACGAAGAAGTAACACTGCGAGTGATTTATGTTACAATGAGATATCCTTGAACTACATCTTTTCTATAGACACGTGCGTAATAAGAGCGGCTTTTCAATTTTACATATTTCTCACGGCAATTTGCGTTTGAATAATAATGTTCAAGTGAATTCACGCCTGCCTATTTATTATTCATATTACGTCGACTTCTATTTTATCGTTCGAGCGATTTTTGTTTTTCAACTATGTATATACTATTATTGTCAGTAGATTCGTTCTAAATGAATGTTGATCGTGAATGATTGCTGATCTGCGTAAAAGGAAAAGTAATTGCAATGAAGATGTTTTTATGAATTTTTTTTGCGCATTATTGAATCTTAATATAAATTCTTTCAGAATGATCGCAGCACGATGAACGAACAAAATAAACGATTTACAACGCGTCAGTGATGTCTTTTTCTAATCGCTCTCTTCTTGTATTTCGAATTTTATACTGACAATTGATTTAATCTGAAATACGATTGTAGTTAGTGACTAAGCTGTGTAATTTACCTATTTCCTGCCTATAAATATTTGAACCATCGGATGACACTAATTAATAAGGTTAGTGGGCCATGAACGACAGTCGTCACCGGAAAGAAAACGAAGCCTTCAAAAATCCACATACACAGAACGGTATTAGTGTTAGCGCCTGGCTACCGGCCCTCGCAATACAAATATACTGATACTCGGCAGTTGGCAATTGCGAAGCACGTGAGAACTCGGCTCGTGTCACGGCCGGTGAGTGTACTTGATCTAAGGGCGTCGGCGCGACTAAGTAGGTCGTGACCCCAAAATTACCGTTCGCTAGGCGCATTAGCGGCTGCCTCGAGGCCGCTAGATGCGAAGAATGAGCGATTGAGCGAGAGAAAAAAATTCAATGTCAGTAACGCCGGCGAGTTCTCGCGCGCTTGGCCATAACTTACATTTCATTGTGAATGTTATAAGCTCAATTACGCAGCGTTTTTACTGACCATGACAGACGTTTCGGATGATACGTTATAAATATGGCGAGGGTAAAGGACGCAATGGCGTTATTTACGCTACGAAGAAGCGGCTTATTTTTTTTTTGCTTAGATTCAATTAGCCAGAATGTAATAGTCTTCGTTATCTATTCTGAAGTCGCTTGTACTCGTTTCACGTACAATGGATTTGTTGATTATTAAAAGAAAAGATCTATCGATAAACTTGCACGTACTGTAGAATTTAATTTCCACATAACAATTACTTACATCGCGAAATATATAATCAATAGGTGTGGCTTTGGGAAAAAGCTGCTAAATACCATATTATAGGCACAAGTGTAATACTGTTAGAAATACTGTCAGGTTGTCGATTATATTATAATAATTGAACTATTACTCTGTAATAAAAGATAATTTTATGACAATAAGAAAATGTACATAATATAAGACGCAATACAACAGCAATACAAATAACACGTTTTTTATTAATCTACTCGATTAATTTTTCATCTAATCTAATCTCATCTGGCATTGTACCGATAGTTATATGAATTATATGAAACACTCGAATAATGTGGTACGTAAGACGAGTTAGCATCAACAGGTGACATCTACGAGTAGAAAGAAGTTATCATCGACGCGGTCGCGCGCTCAATGATTCTACCTATTTTGTGCTCAACTTATCTTGAATTTCTCGGAATGACTTTCCTTTCGTTTCCATAATGAGAAATAGCGTACACGGAACCCCTACGATTGATAAAATAGAATGTATCCAAAAGGCGTAAGCTTCCCCTGCCAAATCAATTATCGGCTGGTAAGCTTTCACAACGAGAAATCCAGAGGAGCTCGCAGACAGACTTGCAGCGCAAACGGCAATGCTTTTGATGTTTTCGGGAAACATCTCGCTCAGCAGCACTCCGGGCACCGATCCATAACCTATTGGATACGCGATCAAGTACACGACGAGCGAAGTGATCGGTAACCATTGAAGAGCTTTCGCGTCATGACCCAACGTGACTAGATAAAAATGTAATCCCAGCGCGAACAGAGCTATCGCTGTGCCGACACTCGAGATAATCAATAGAAATCGACGACCCAATTTGTCAATCAAGGGAAACGTCGAAAAGGCTGCTATAACAGTGATGATATTGGCGTAAATCACGCATTCCTCCGGCTTCAGCGCCTCGAATTTCGCACTTTTCAATATGATCTCCATGTAAAACATGACGTTCATGTAACCACCGAGCTGTGGAAGTGCAAACACAAGCATAATCACGAAAATGGATTTCCTCACAACCGAGAGCTTTAACTTTTTCAGCTTGTCCTTGAAACCCTCGCTGTTTTCCACAAAATTCATAATCTCTTTCAGTTCTTTTTCCGAGCTCGCGCCACGATAAAAGGCAAGGGATACTTGTGCCGCCTCCTTGTAACCTTTTTTCACCAAATAATATGGACTGTCATCCAGCCAAAAAAACAATAAGATATTCATTATGGTCAGTGTCAGATATATGGAAGAAGTCACTGTCATATTTAAATACGTCTCGGTAACTATTCCCATGACGATACCCACTGGATTACCTATGGCTCCAAATGCTATTAAAGTGCCACGAATTCGCGGGTCTGAAACTTCACCCAAGTACATTGAGAAACAGCAAAACAATATAACAGCGGCTATCCCAAAAATTAATCGTGATACGTAAATCCACATGATGGAGTTTGCGAGAAGTAAGCACGTCCAACTGATGCCCATCATCATCAACGATATTATATTCGTTCTTCGAGTACCTACGTATTCTATAAGAACGCCAGTCAAAACTGCACCTACAGCCGATCCAATGCTCACCAGTGACGTCATCCACGATACGTTGGACGGCGTTGCCTGTATCGGAGAATCTTCGGACAGCAATCGGGCGTTGTTAGGGGACGCCCAGCCGATTCCAATGCCCATTTGCAGCATGAGCAAGAATACTGAACGTTCGCACAAATTTTATCGTAATTGAAATCTAGCGCGCTTATGTAAACGCGTTGAATAACGATAAATACCTGTGAATGTGGCGATCCATTGTACGAGGTTGCTTCTTTTTGGCTTATAACTTTCCTCTTGCCGTTTCTCCATTATAATGCTTATTTGTTTTACTGGCAGCTTGATTCTCACGTGGAATCAGAAGATCGCATACTTCGCTGATTGCTGAACTAGACGATCATAATACTTTCATTCAGTTGAAAGTCTGTACGCTGTCGTGGCTATCATTTTATTATAATGCAATTATATCGCATGTCAATTATCATACTATGTTATAACTAACATCGATTGTATTCACCGATGTTGATTTTAGCTTGAAGCGAGTCGTACTGAGATACAGTTGGCGAAGAAATAAGCGAGCAAAATTATTCCGTTGATAAGTTGTGTTACGTCTATTTTATTACAAAATCACTCGTTCAAGGCTGCATTTACAAAGACAGTTTTAATTTCTTTTTATATAATGAGATAGAAAAAAAAAGGACGATCGTCGGCAGTGCACAATGCGCGCGGAAATCACTTGCGGTGTAGCTCTAATTAGAGTACTGCGATGAGATGGGAATTCGATGAAAAAACAAATGAACAAAAAATATATCGATTAAAAGCTAAATACTCGGCGTCGTTGAGAAGCATTAAAAGTTAAGCCGCGAATCTACCGATACTGAAACTTACTTTGGTCTTGTTTATTTTCAAGAAAACTGGGGCTCGAGCAGACGGCTTTCCGCCGCAGAAGACGTAGAAGCAAGACAGACTTGGTTGATTCAATGTTGAGGACGGGAATGAAACAATAGTAGCAAGGATTGCCGACTGCGGATATTACGTGCGAGACCGAGGAGAGGAGGTAAATGGCCAATTGGCCGGGGCTTCGGTATAGCACAAATGCTATCTATTTACGCGTTACGTGTGTTGACTTTATAGTGACAATGATGAATCGTCAATTTTTCGGTCGAAAGTCTTTAATTTGTTGCCTCCTCCGTGTAACTAGACTATTATTCTCTTTCGAAACGCGGCGTACATGCGAGACATTAAAACACGATGGTAATAGAAAGACGTATCATTTAAAAGTATAAGATTAAAAATCGTGAAATTCAAGTAAGAAAAGTAGCGGCTTTTGTTCTGTTCGAGTATAGTTATCGCCATTGAAACTCAACGTTGTTGTCAATTGCAATTACTAAGCACAGTGTTACTATTAATTTATATTTATTGAAAATATTCATTGCAATCATGCAGATTTATCACGAAAGAGACATTTGCTTATTATTTGTCGCATAATTTTTTATAATATAATTATCCAAGGTTTTTCAACGAAACCGATGCTTACCGCGGTAATCAAAGGTGCACAGATTATTTTATCTATATATTAGTGTAGTTAACGTAGCTTCAATTGCATTATATATATGTGTACACGTTTCTCAGTCATATTTCATTCGATAACCTTGAATATTTTCATAATTAAAAATTATATTTACTAACGTTAACACGTAATTTCACTTTTATACTGTACATATCAAATTAATTACTATCACAACAATAAAATCGGTGTTCCGGATAATCTAGCGTGTCAATTCAACCATTAATTTATTTACTTTAGAGAATTGGCAACAAGTATTTGGACGTGACAAATTTGGCAGCCAAAATAATACGGCAGATAACAGTTCTTTTCTCAAATAAAAGAACGGTTCAGTCATATATATGCAACTGAAATAATATGCACCAGACAAGGTAGCTCGTCATATTACTAAGTGCTATAACAATATTTAATTCGTAACGCTAATCGGTAAGGAAGACAGGTAGCTAGACAGCTTCCAAGAAAGAGAGACAGAGAGAGACGTAATCACACCAATCTATGCTAGTTTGAGTGTCTCTATACAAACACATACACACACGCGTACGTGCACTATCAGAATCTGCATTGTACACCACGACAAGCCCAGGTGCGTTATAAGCGCTCAGAGATACAGCACACGCGTGACGCATAGCGCATACTTTTGCTGCGCGCGTACTAATGTAAGCTTGCAGCTCAGTTCTTTTAAATATCGTATCGTTGTGCTTTCTTCCATAATACGCGCTATTGCATCCGTTAGAAATATTATCAGTGACAGGTGAAATGAATATTGCTTGTTGCTTTTGAACTATTTTTTCTTTACCGTATGCAGTGTACTTGGAACGGGATGTGTTAAGGTATCTATAATAGTGTGCAATAATTTTGTTTTATCGTACTCCAGCACTTTCAAATAAATTATAAGTGTGCGAATGTTACGTGCTTATTGATAAGTCGTCAACAAATTCAGGTTTTTCCATGTGAAATAGGTCGTTTTTATCATACGTAGCGTACTAGTGTGTATAAATCATTGACGTAACTTAAAATGTAGACAGTTTGCAAAATGTAACACAGGGCGTCAAACATTTTGAAAATATTTAATTGTCAAACATAGAACCGGCGTGTTTAAAATAAATTTAAATTTACAAAAATAGAGCTGTCTTATTTACTGACACACTTTGCTGCATAGTTATCTATTTGTAATCTAATCTAATCTTTGAACAATTAAAATAATTAAAATATCGTTCATTTTTCATTTTTTAAATCCTGGCAGTGTGCAAGGCTATTTGTCTTATCGACCGCTTAATTGAATAAATAAACCTCTTTCATATGAGACCGATAAAACATATGTTTTTAATGAAATATTTGTTCGGTTGGTGATTTTAATTTTTTGCTATAAGAAAAGATTAATTGAGAATTTTCATTTGTAAATACTAATGTACCAGTGATTGGGCTCAGCCAGTAAAATATAATATACTACATAGTTCTCAATATGAATTTATTAACCATCAAACGTATCGTTAATTATATACAACGACATGGTCAGCTGAATGACAAATATCAATGAAAAATATTCGGACTAGTATTCATTTCAAGTTCATATTTGAGCGATATTTATCAAGATTAAATTTAATCAGAAAAGAAGCAGAATTTAATATTGATAAAATAAATTGACGAATAAAATATAATACTGATGGCATAAAAAGAAAATGAAAAAAGTGCATTTTGGAAAAAACTTATAGGTTATTCTGAATAATTTGAGGACACAATGATTCTATCAAGGAAGCTGTCTATCAAGAAAATTCGTAATTTCCTGACGTATAAATATATTTTTTAATTATTTCCTATTTTGTCGCTAAAATTACTAGTATTATGGAGTTACATAATATATTTTGTGAGCTTCTGTAATTTTATTTTGGGTATTAGAAATCAAATGGAAAATTAATTATTTTCCTTTAAATTGAATAGCGAGCGAAAATAAAAATGCCAAATGGCCCTGACTATTTAATTTAAAATACTCATCTGATAAATATTCTTACCGGCAGTTTGAAATGCTATACATGTACGTAAGCATCGATAAAAATAATTAAATCTTCTTTATAAATGTAAAAGTTTTAATAGAATTGTAGATAATAATTTTAAACAAGTTCACGAATGTCATGAATTAAAACATGTCGATTCAGGTGAAACTGATAGTTTTTTCCATCAAGTATTACATTATAGAATATAATAAATGAAAAATTAATGATTCATCATTGTACACGTCTGCAGCCGACGCACATGTTACATACGGCTTAACATTTTTATTGCACACTGAAAGCTTCGGACAATTTTCCACTTACCTTCTTCATTCTCGTACGTGCGTATATTCATTCTTGTCGCAGACTTTGCCGGAGTCATTCCATCTCAATTCTAAACTGTGGTACAACGAAGTTTATCTTGTTTATAACATTTAGGATGAAAAGCGTTCTATTTGAACCCTATTTCCATTCTAATAAATCTCAAGTAAGTTCACTGCCAAAACTCTTAGCCTAATTTTGAATATTATAGTATATTTTCTAAGAATTTTATTCAAGTTTTTTAATCCTTGTGCCAAGTTTAGCAGTGTTTAAAGTGATTTGTTGGTCATAGTTTATGAATGTTGTACAAGGATTGCGATGCAAAGTAATTGTCTAACGCAAATTTTACTACCCGACTGGATGTATTTTAACAACTTCAAACCAAACGAACAGTGTGTTGTGTACGTTTCGTCACAAAGGACTGTAAGTAACTCGTTTCTCATTAATTCTTCATCATGTAACCTACATCAAATAATGTAATACAGTATTTTGTGTTTATTCATGACATTTTTCTTTCACAAATAATGTAAAAATGACGAATCATTTTCAAAATTAAATGTTCCATTAACACCAACAATACTTTAACATTACTACAAGTAGGTTTAAATGTTCATGATAGTCTTAGCCTGACACATTTCAAATTTTGTTTTTAACTCAATAAAGGATTGGACTAATGCATGGCTCGTAAATCTCATGTTGATAAAAATAGTAGATCTAGGTAAGCTTTTTGCATTCATCATGTCAATAATAAACGGATATATTTTTTATCATTAGTCGGCGAAAAAATTAAAATTACACGTATATTACACCTCCGGAAAAATGATGAATAGATACATACAAAGGTCCATTTGACATCTAAATTATCCTTATAAAAATGTTTATGTCATTTGCTATTACTCATACAAGTCTTTATAATTTTATTTATAAAATATTTTCACTTTAGCTTGGATTAAAAGATGTGTATTAAGTTTCCGAAAAATAATAGATAGAAATTATTATAAACAATAGTACGTCGAATTTTTTTTTAACTTTCAAATCATATTACTCAATCTTTAACGAAGATATCTACAAGTTTCTTTGTAACTCTTACAAAATTCCTTTTTTCAAGGTATTTTTTTACGGTCGTGTAATTTTTTTATGGCCATCCAATGACCTAATAAGGTGATACATTGTTTCACAATACTTGATTTTCAGGAAGCCTAATCCTTTTCATATAATGCTAACTACCAGTTAAAGGTTAAAAAGTGTGCTAATTTAATCGCAATGAACGCAATCACATGATAAATATATATCACGCCTTTATGTAATAAAATTGAGTGATACTATTATCTTATCTAATAAACTATAAAATATCATATAGCGAACTCGACTTCTCACACTTTGTTATTTATGCGTGAAAACTGGACAAGTAAGAAGTTTTCAGCATAAATAGTTAGTGGAATATTCAGATGTCGAAGATAATGAAAGAAAACCATGAAATCAACCATGATCAATCAAAAACTAGCAACTTTGTGCAATGGATTGCAACCTTCGCAGGTATTTTATATAAAATTGAACACTTTCCCGTATTACGTGATAGCGCTGTAAATTTCTGTAAATGTTGTAGTGTTTCTGCTTGCATTGCAAGTGGGAATTGGAATCGGCTGGGCGTCGCCTAATAACGCTCGGTTATTAAAAGACGATTCTCCAATACACGCGACCACGGATGATATATCTTGGATGACTTCTTTAGTGTCAATAGGAGCAGCCATAGGCGCTATTTTAGGAGCAATCGCTGTTGAAATTGCCGGTAGCAGAAGAACGATCTTATTGACTTATGCACTTTTAAGCATCAGCTGGATACTGCTACTTGTTTCGAATTCCGTCGAATGGCTCTATGCGTCGCGCTTTATCATGGGAATCGGCTGCACTTTGCTGTATTGTTGTTTTTCTTTATACCTAGGTGAAATATCGGATGCACGAATCCGCGGCAGCCTTATCTCATTGGCAATTATAGGATCTCCATTTGGCTGTGTCTTGGGAATAATCGCTGAGACATATTTAGACATGAAAGTGACTGCATCTATATACCTAGTTTTAGGCTTGATTGGTATCTTATTATTTTTTTGGTTGGACGATACTCCGTACTACTTAATCAAGAAAAATGAAAGAGATACTGCACTGATATCGATTAACTTTTATCGTGGCACTAGTTCAGAAAAGGAATTGGACGAAGTTATAAGTTTTGTGGAAAATAGTGCTGATCTCAAAGAAAAACTCAACATGTTGAAAGTGTCAGTCGTGAGGAAATCAATTTTTATGATTATGTTGGTATTTACACTCCCTCATATTGCTGGTTATATGAATCTTATGAGTTACATGCAAACTATACTTGAAAGCTCTAAGTTTGATTTGATAAAACCGGAAGAGTGTGTTATTTATGCCAATATTATCACTGTAATAACAGCATTTGTGACATTCAACTTGATTGATAAATTAGGACGTAAAATTTTATTAATAATATCTAGTATTGGCACTGCCAGTGCTTTGGTTGCATTAGGAACTCATTTTTATTTATTAAAATCGGAATTCGATGTAGAAAATTTGCAGTGGTTACCAGTTGGTTCCATTCTATTTTACTTAATTACGTATTCCGTAGGCTATGGATCTGTACCTGGTGCATTGTTGAGTGAAATGTTCCCTGAAAATATAAAAAGTGTAGCTGCTTGTGCAGCTACTTTATCTGTATCGTTTTTCGGATTTATTGTTGCGAAAGCTTATCAGCCGATAATAGACTCTGTCGGTGAAGCCTATGCATTTTGGATACATGCCGTGTTAGCATTGTTAGGAGTACCGTGTGCATTATTTATGATTATAGAAACAAAAGGTAAAACTTTTCAAGAAATTCAGGACAAGTTAATGAAAGGACAATGAAATGAGTACATGTAAAAAACCGTGCCATTTTTTATTCATGTATGGTGTAATTGTAAGACATTTATTTAAAATAATCATTTTATCGCAATCATTTTTACATATTTTTGTAAATACTATTATTTTCTAATGTTATAAAATTTATATTGTACCATTTATTGCATTAATCTATATAAATTATTGATTATATTTGCGTAGAGTCTGTAATTAACAAATACTCTTATCAAAGAAATTGTAAAAGAGTGAATTAAATGCAGCATATTAAGTAGATATAGTTCTAGAAAAAATAAAAATTGTAATCATACTGTATGTAGCTAAAAGAAATTAGAGTTATATTTCATCTGCATTTACGTTATTTCTGATAGATGTGATTTTGATTTATATACTCACTGTATATTCGACATTTATTATGAAACATATTGAGCATCACACACACACACACGCGCGCGCGCGCGCGCACGCGCGCACACACACACATATATATTTTTTAAATAAAATCTATGAATTTTAAATGACTTGATTGGTTAGTATGTCTTTTCTAAAAAGTTAGTTGAACCCGAAACGTAAGAAACGTCTGTATAAGGCGGATTAATGTATAAGCTTCTAGCGCTTTCGTAGTGAACTCTATAATAAATTCAATATCACCAGCGTAAGAAAATACATCAAAAACATTCACATTATTATTGAAAAAATTACTTGCTTTTCCTTGAATTTAAAATAACTAAAAATGTGGAATTACACACTTTTAGCTAGGTATATTGGAGTATGAAATATATTCATTACATTTTTAGAAAGCCACGTTATTTATAATAAGCGGTACATAATTTAGATATATTTTTTACGTAGGATACCATGGCGCTATAAGTTTCATTGTAAAACCTATCTAAAACACGTTAGAAACAAAAATCCAACATATTTTTTATTTTTAAGAAAGAACATTGAACGCTGTGAGTGTAAGAGTACAAAATTCTGTGAATAAGATGTATATTTTTTTTTTACTCCGGTAAGAGATTTAAAGAACTTGACAACATCATGTCATTTCATTCCAAGTATAACATAATTCAAGAATAAAGTTAGTTAGACTGTTTATCTATTTTTCAACATTTAGCATTTACACTCAATATGCATGTAATATTATTAATAATATAATTTAATAATGATAAACGATCTAAGTGAACTAGGATATAATAAATGAAACTCGATAGTAGACGAACGAGATAGAAAAACTCAAGATGTTTTTACTTTATAATACCTGCTCCCTAATAAAAAGGTGAATTGTGGCTTATGATTTATTTGAATTGTATTATTGTATCTTATGAAATATCAGTTTAATATCAGTATTTGTCAAATAAGTGATGGATGGTTCTGTCAAGGAAGTGAAAGTATGTTCTTAAATCAAATTGTTTGTTGGCCAGTACTATCAAAAGTTTCGGACAGGCTCATTGTCTAAATCTCAATCCACGAAAAATCAGAGGAATCGAAGCACAAAACAATAACGTAAAAATAAGTTTTGTTCAATACTAACTGAAGTTTCATACAAGCTGATTAACTAAATCTATCAGTGAAAGATATCATGGGGAATCCGAATACTGAAGAATCGCGTAAAAATTACATTAATAAAATTCAACGACTAACATTATTTACAGGTAATTGAATTTTTATTAATTTATATTAATATCAATAAATCTATCCTACCTTTAAAAAATGCCGAGTTGCTGATATTTAGTATTGTGATTGGTTCATTTTTAAAAATAGCGCGAAATGTTGAATTTGATTATACTTTGAAACATTCATATTATATAAATCGAACAAGAGGTTTATATTTCAACAGTAAATTCAATTTATAAATAATCGATATGAAAAATAATATGCAGGAATAAAAATATGCAGTTAATAAATACAAATGCAAATTTAGTAAACAAAATAATAAATTATTTAAAAAAAAAAAGAGGTCTTTAAATGAAGCTGGAATTAATAAAAGAGATTAGATATGAATAATTTAATATTGAACTAACGATAATTCTTTCTATCGACATGGAAAAAATGATAAATATTTATTTATTGTCAAAAAACACTATATCTGATAGTAGTGTACTTATAGTGCACATTTAAAATGTTACTTTGAATGTTCAAAGATGTATAATAACTTTTGTTAAAAAATTTATGCAATTTTAGCATTTTTATGTTATTTGTAATTGGGATTATATGATGGATGGGCTTTGCCAATTTCATTTGGCTTCTACCCGAAGAATCACATTTACAAGCTACAACGTCTGATGGATTATGGATAATATCAATATCTTCAATTTTAGCTGAAATCGAAGTGATTTTCTGTTCTATTTGTATAGAATGTATAGGTAGCAGAAAATTAATACTCTTATCGTATTTGTTTATAAGTACTAATTGGATTTGTTTTTTGATGGCTGGTTCTATCGAGTGGATTAACGCTTCACGTTTTATAGGTACTATTCCATTAACCGTATTTACTAGTAGTTCTCCAATTTACTTAAGAGAAATTTCATCACCTAAAACTCGCGGTGCGCTAATTTCTTTGGCTCATACTGGCTATAGCATTAGGATAGTTCTTGGCACTGTAGCCGAAATTTATTTACCAACAAAAATATCTGTTTCAATATACTTAACTGCAGCTTTCGTCAATGCAATATTAATGGGGTGGCTTAAGGATACGACCTTTTTTTAATGAAGAAAAGTCATTTAGAAGGCGCAATATAATCAATCAAGTTTATCATGTAGATAAAGACATTAAAAACCTGTTAGAAGAAATTTAATCTTTCATAGAGAATAATGAGAGCCAGTCACTGGAATGTAACGTTCGTGAGCTTTGGTCTCCTGTCAGTAAGCAACTGACGTTACTCATATATATTTTATATGGAATGTCGATTTGGAATGATTATGGAATATTGTTGAATTACATGGAAATTATTTTGACTAGTTCTAGCTTTGATGTAGTGTGTGTCTGTGTGTGTGTATACTTATATTTTTTATAGTAACATCGAGGGTTGGCACGAGTATCACTATTTGATTTGGGCTTATACTTTTATTTATTGAGTGTAGGTTTTAATAGGAAATCTTTGCAAAGGTTACCTGTCGCTTTTATTACTACATTTTTAATCATATATACAGTAGGATCTGACAATTTCCAGTGCAGTACTAAGCGAAATGTTTCCTGAAAAAATCAAGAGTACAGATGTTTTGTAGCTTCTGTAGCATCTCCGATTCTTGGATTTTTTTCCACAAGTTTTCAGCCTTTTATTGATTTTGTAGGCGAACAATATGTTTTTTGGACTCATTTTCTTTTGTCCTTGTTGAGCACTCCGTGCGCTATATTTTTCGTGATTGAGATAGAAGAAAAACCCTTTCCAGAAATTCAAAAAGAATTAGAAAAAAATGGCATAATTGAATTTTTTAAGTCTCTGTTAGTGGCACTGACTGAGCAGAAGAAGTATTTCCAGGTTTTTTCTTAAATAAATGAATTAGTTAACTTGAAACTTTTTCAGAACATCCATTGTACATAAGCAAAGAGCAGTAACGAGTCTTTTTTTGAAAACTGTCTTAGAAATCGAAAAACTGCGAGTAGAGTTATAATTTTTTTCTCAATTTCCAAGACAATTTAAAAAAAAAGGCTCTTCGTGCTTTTTGTTTATGTATTATGGATGTTACAAAGAAGTTTCATATTGACTAGTTCATTTGTTTAAGAAAAAACTTGAAAAAACTTTTTTGCTCAGTCGGTAACGCCAACAGAACGTTTATAATATTCATCAGTGTATAATATGGAATCTAATAATAAGTGGAAGAATAGAATATCCAAGAAAGAAGAGTTCAATAATTTCAAAAACGTAAATAAATCACGTAATTGACTTATATACTCTTCGATGGCAGTTGTTATTAAGATATTTATAAAAAATATTTGAACTTTCGATTTGCCTATCAAGCTAATTTGTATGAATATTTATATTCGATATTTTATGTGTACTTTGATTGAATTGTAACTCACAAATTTATAAGCGTCATATATCAAATAAATTACTTTTATCGTGACATGTGGAATCTTCAATTAAGATTTGGAACATAAGACAATGATATGATCTTATCAAAAAGCTAAAAAATAATTCTTTCCTATATAGATCTCTCATTATGAAAAGACCGTTTATAAACAAAAGTGCTTTTTTACAAATTATTTTCATTTTATTCGAATTAATAAGGCAAGTCAGTCTCTCAGAAGATAAATAGTAAACATACCGTTGGCGAAAGCTTTCTGGAAAAATTAATTTTTTTGGTTGCATTTTTTTTTTTAAAGTTTAAATGCGGGTTCAATTTTAAATTAGTATTCAAACTATTAATGAAATATATCATTATAAGATTATATTTTACCTAATGAGAGACTTTATTTAACATTCTCATTATGCAAGCATGTAAATTCTAATGACCAATACTTAGGAGAAATTTCCTCATTTGAAACCAACGTATATTAATTTCACTAGCAGTTACTGGTTCTCTTGTTGGACCTGTTCTAGGTGCGCTGAAATGCTGAAACTTATTTGACAGAGAAAATATCTAATTCATTACATATGGCTACAACTGCTTTTAAATTAATACCGATCCTGTGGTTAAAAGACACACTATATTATTTTGTAAAGAAGAACAATTTGGAATATTGCTTTGGTTATTATGACTACAAGAACTACGTACAGGTATATATGCAGCGATGTACATTAAATTTTATCACGTAGACAAAAAACTGAAACAGAACTACAAGATACTAAATTTTTGTAAAATAAGTTTGAAGATTAGATTCACGAGCTTCGATCTTCCGTCATAAAAAGATCGTTGTTTGCAATATTTATTATCTGGAGATTGTCTATTTTTAATAGATACACACTACTTTTATTTTTCATGTAAATTATTCTAAAAATAATTAATTTTATATTGACCTAATAAAATCCAAAATTACTTAACAAATAAAAGTCATGTTGAAAAACAATTATTAGTTTTTAAAAAAACATAAAAATCGTCTAATAATAAAATTATAAGAAATAAATCAAGCGTTAAAAAGTTATAGTAGACGTTACAGAAGGCATAGAAAATAAATTTAGGTGCATGAAATAAGCTATAATTGCTTTTATAATCAATTCATTCCTGATTAGTAAAAATAGTAATTGACTATTAGCTAAATTATGTTATTTATATATATACACTAAAGGGTACCCTTCTACTTCCTTCACTAGACCCTCCCCCCCCAACGAAATAACAATTTCTATTTAATTTTATTTATTTATTTTTTATAAAAAATGTAAAGATATTATAGGAAAAGGCATATTGCGAATAGTACTATAAAAAGCACGTCATGATATTTATCTTAATGATGGTGTGGAAATGATATCATTTATGAAATTTTTGCTTAATAATTACATATTTTTTTATCAAAATAATAAAATAAGATTAAAATGTAATACATTTACAGCAAAAAGGGAATTTTCCCGTATAATAGAAAACTCATTAATGCAAAATATTTTCAACCCATAGTAACATTATTCATAAAGATAATAAAATGATACAATATTATCTACTCACTGACAAGTTAATTATTACCATTAATAACATTATTTATAGAAAAAATAAAATAGAACATCAATGATGTCACATTTTGTTTAAATTTTCAAGAATTTGTATTGAAAATAAAAATGTAAAAGAAATAAAATTATAGAAAGCATCAGTAATAAAATCGCTTAGCTCATCTTTATCGGATATCTATTCGTCGTTGCTCATTCCGAAACAATAACAGATACACAAGAGAAAGATCAATCGGTTATGTAGGTCAGTGAGTCGCGAACATATGATGAAAGAGAAAATAATAGTCGTCCAAGTATACGGGTGAGTGTTTAATTTTTATTTTGTAGGACACGTGTATAGTTCAAATTTTGAACTTGTTGAAAGTTGCTCGGAACTTCACAATTTCACTTTTTGACTTTTAAATTTCTAATGGTTGACTCGGACAAAATTTATAAGTCTCTTTATCTTTTACTTGCTTCATTTCAGAAACGTTTGAGACGGTATATTGTTAGTCAGAAAATATTGTATAATTACAATCTCATAGTTTTATGGAACGATAGACGTGATATATCTAAAAAGGAAACATTTTCATCTGATCATTGCATAAAATCTTGATTAATTAATGATAAACGTAACAAATCTAATAGATGTTTCAGATTTCTCAGTAAAAATTACGATATGAAAGCTCTTAACAAAATTTGCTTCTATCAATGACAATTAAATGACAGATTATAAATAAGTAAAATATGTACTTATGCTGTTTGATCAAATACATTGAATAATTCATGTTTAAACATACGAAAAAAGAGTACATTTTTGACATTAATTTTTGTACAAAAATAAAAAAATATCTCTGTAGCATTTTACATTGCTGTTTACATGTACCGATCACATACTTCTTTTGTCGTTATTTCCTCTTGTGCTCTTGAAACGGAACTACAACGTATGTCGCACTCTCACTTTCTCGCGCGCGCGGATGACCCGATTTCGATGACGGGCCACTAGCTCATCATGAGAAAGCGAGTAAAACACTATATTGCTCGTCCCTATGCCCACGCGGTGAAACTCTTACCACGAGAGAATGGATAAACAGGTTGTGCTCTTTGTGCAGATATACTTTGATAAAACTGAATTGTTCTTTATTTTTTGTTTTGTTTAATGCAAATAATTAAGGACTAACTCTAATTTTTAATATAAGTTTACTTATTTTTCAACTAAATGGCTCTTTTTGTCGAGAGTATTTATTTACAATATTCCAGTGATTTTATGCTTTATTAAGTTGGGGAGGAAGTCGTTTTGATAGATATATTGTGTTGTTTTACATACTTGATAACATCACTGTTTGGTATGTTCTTCATGTTGTCTGTCATTACGCTTAAATATTTAATGTTGTGACGGACAAGTTTTATTGATACTGATTTGTTTTATTTGATAAAGATTAATAAATATTACGTCATAAGATTATATGATTGTATGATCAAGATTGATTAGTGAGAATCGATATCAAGTGTCATACTATGGACTTGATGCGAATGTCATTCAGTACTTGGAGTTTAGCGATCATCGTTAAAGGCAGTGGAAACAAAATTTATACTCAGCCGGTTTACAGATAGAGTCTGTCAGTTTACAGATAGTTTGCAAATAACTCTCAGATAACTACACAACTTGAAATTATAATGAAATTATTTTCCGAAACTAATAAAAGTAGTCTCATACAGTGGATAGCAACATTTGCAGGTATCGTATCCTTTTTCAATGCAGCATTATCATTAAAATAAAAATTTCTTTTTATTTTAACCATGGTTATGTGAAAATATTTTAGTGAACACATTTAAACATATATCAGATTTTATGTTACTGAAAAAAAATGAATTCAAATTGGAAATATATGACTTTCTTGGACTTGATACGAATAAATTGATACCATTTTCTTGGTGGGAAATTATTACTTATTTTGAAAAGATAGTATTTCATAACGTCGAATGCTTGTGTTTTATGATATGCGTTCGAATCTTTGTCACATTACGTCACATGTAATGCAATGTTACATATAAAGATACGACCGCATTTATTGGAAGCCAGTTGAGGATCTTACACTTTTTAAATTTATTAATATTTTAGTGTTTCTACTGAGCTGTCAAATTGGTTTGTTTACCGGCTGGGTATCGCCTAATGAAGCAAGATTGTCACAAGAATCACCATCCTCTCAGTCAGAAATATCATGGGTAATATCTTTAGCACCAGTAGGATCTGCTTTGGGAGCACTCGCAGGAGCGTTTTCGATCGAATATCTTGGCAGCAGAAAAACGGTTCTTCTAACTTATTTATTAATGGGTATCAATTGGGTATGTGTCTTATGCGCAAACTCCTTCGTTTGGTTGTACTTTGCCCGATTTATTGGTGGGGTAGCTGAAACAATATACATTTGCAGCTTCTCTATGTATCTAAGTGAAGTAACAGCTCCGAAAATTCGTGGTACTTTAATTTCAGTGTCAATGTCCGGTGGTATACTAGGTGTTATTTTAGGTCTTATTGCTGAGACGTATCTGACTAAAATTTATTCTTGTCCAATATATCTTACAGTGACTTTACTTGGTATATTATTAGTTCAGTTCCTGAAAGATACACCTTATTATTTTGTAAAGGTAAATGATATGGAAGGTGCTAAAAATTCTATTATATTTTACCGAGCTAATGTTGACGCGGAAAAGGAATTACGAGAAATAAAGGATTATGTTGAAAGCAGCAGCAAAAGTACCGGAAATAAATTTTGTCAACTACGATTACCTACGGTAAGAAAATCTTTGTTCATAATAGTTATTGTTTACGCTTTACCAGAGTTAAGTGGTGCGTCAAATCTTTTGTCATATACGGAATCAATTTTGACAAATGTTGGCTTTGATCTGATAAAACCCGAACAAGGAGTTATTTATATAAATGTTATATCAATAACGTCGATGCTGCTAATATTCAGAGGAGTAGACAAACTGGGTCGAAAAGTGTCATTGTTGATATCAAGTGTTGGAACAAGTATAGCCATGGTTGCATTGGGTTCGTATTATTATTTATTAAATTCAGATTTCGACGTGAGCAATTTACACTGGTTGCCAATTGTGTCAATGGTAGCTTTCTTGATCTTGTATAATGTTGGATATCTGACAGTACCCAATACTTTATTAAGTGAAATATTTTCGGAAGATATGAAAAGCGTAGCAGCTTGTTTAGGAACATTATCAACGTCATTTTTTGGTTTTGTGATTAATAAGTCTTTTCAACCAATCATAAGTTCTCTTGGCTATCACATTGCATTTTGGATTCACGCTGCTCTGACCCTCATTGGTATTCCATGTGCATTATGGTTATTAACTGAAACGAAGGGGAAATCGCTTCAACAAATACAAGATAAACTCAATAGAAAATGAAAAAGATGTGTTTATATTATTGAAGTAGTTGTATATGAATATGAAACTGTCGTATATGTAAGTTGTATATGAAACTATTTGTACATATATACACCTCATGTTATAAAAATTAACGAGATTGGTAGACTGAAATGGTGCGACGAAGACAAAATTAAAGGAATAATAAAAAAATAATGTGTTGTGGGTAATGATTACTATGTGAATTAATCAAACGATAAATTTAAAGAAAACTTATAATATGCTTAGTTTAGCATTTGATATTTAAATAAATGCAATTTTTATTTTCATTTTTTATACTATGTATAAACTAGGTCTGTTTTATGTTGAGATCATCGATGTAGTTGTAAATCCATCAAATTATAATAAAAGCGTAACTTTATATAATTATACCTTTTATTCTCCCACATTATAAAGACATTAAAAATAATGATATAAGACGCGCTTAAATCCGTTAAAAAGTGTTGTCGCTCTCGCGTTTGCCGGCCAAGTCCTACGTTAACATGTGGATTTAATTACGTGTCGCATGAAAAATCTAAGACAGATTCTGCAAAGATCGTTTTTGATTTCATTAGTGTAAGTTAATTTTACGCGAATCAGCCATAGTGTATCAGTTAAATCTATTTTTCAATAATCTATTACTCATAAAAAATCTTGTAATATATAAATTAAGGCTGGGTTGTTCAGCCACAAAGAAGAGCATAAGCTGTCGATGACTTGTCCTTGTGCCGAAAACGAACGACATAGCTATGAATGCACCCCTCCTATACCATTTATTTCGGGTCTATCGGCACGCTCTCGCGGATATTACATCCATTGTACGCATCGTAGAATAAGCGCGAATGCATTCGTTAAAATGTATTTCCGATTCGACATGTAATCGAGGGTTTCTGCACGGAACTCGATCCGTTTTAAATTGAAGTTCGAGGAAGATGGCGTTTGATTTGGTTGCGACTCACTGTTCGGTAAATCAATTGGACCTCGTAATGAAAAAACTTGAATTTATTCTTTTCCATCGCGCATTTATATATATACACGCTTAAATTATAATGTTTGTCTGAGATTTTATAGCGGAGCTGCACTTGCATTCCTTTGAATGCAAATTTATCGCGTATATAGTTCCCGGACGCGGAACGCATTGCTTTGAATTTGAGAATGCGCGCGCGCGAACACGGTTGGTCCTGACGTAAGATCTAAATATACGTCGATCCCACATGTTTCCAAGCTCAACGCGGCCTTTTGACAACACTGCCAAAGTCTCCACGAGCGCAAAGTGTTCAGAGTAGGCGCGTTAAAAATAAAATAAGCCGCGAAACCGAGCAGAATAACGGCGCACGAATAACATCTCCGTCGGATCTGTCCGACGCGCGTACGTTCGGAAACGCACGTGCGACTGATAAACATCAACGGCTGATGGAGGCGCGCACATATCTCGCACGTGAGCCAAGGCCATAAACGGTCAAGATCGCGATCGCGTTTCCTGCCTCGCAAGCTCTTCAGCGAGTTATCGGCGAATCGCATTGTTTCGCGATCGCAGTATCTTCGGCGGGTAATAAGGAAATCGTTGCAAGCGCTATATGCTCGCAATGACGCAAGGTGGCTTTTGTTTTTCATTCGCGCGCGCTCGCGGGCCTCGTTGTGTGTGACAACCGAGCGACCGAGTGCGCACCGTGAATGATGGATGTGCGAATAGTTTTCAGCAGGCGCAGCGGCAAATTCGAAACTACGCGCGCGAAGCGTCGTTTGCTCGGCTGACGACGATAACTTCAATCTTGATACGCTATTAGCTTACTTAAGAGAAGCTTTGGATTCATTCGTTTGAGACGTTTTCATCGATGATAATGCGATTGTTGAATTATTCAATGATTTCAATTACCATATCCAAATGAAAAATGCGATTCAGGGTTACATCAGCAACTTCTACGAAAGCAGCCAACTATACACATCGACATCTCGATCGGGCGGAAACAATCGGAGCGAAAGCGAGCTATTAGCAAAGGAAATCGTCGTCCTTGGCCCTTAGAAAGTCAGTGGTCTGTAGCTAAACCGGGGTTTAGCGCGTGGGCTTTCGAATGCATAGGCGAGGTACTATACGCGCGAAAAACTGCCTGACGGGAAAACGAGCAGTTGCGAAAGTTTGAGGAGCGAAAGAAAGTGAGGGGGATTGAGCTGAGAAAAGAAACGAGGGACTCAGCGTACGGCACAAAGGTGTGTACACGCCCTCGGACCTAACTAAAGTAAATATAAAGTCAGCGTTGGCTATCTGCGTGCTACGCGCGAACGCAATTCTTACAAGTGGGCTTCTCCGTTTTACATCTGAATCTGTTATTGTAATCGAAGAATGGATATTTATAGATACGGTTTGCCGTCTTCGGTATAATACGTCAATTCAACACGTTTGCAATGGCAATGAGGCAAGGGGTTTGTTTTTAAAAGTTTTCTTGAATCATGCGAAATATGATGAATATTTACTTGTCGAATTTATGTATTCAGATATTCAATACCACTGAATGTTGTGACGTTGAAAAGCCGACTTTTTAGGGAAATAGCTTTCGTTTGAACAATAATACAATACCTAACTTTAAATAATTTATATATACATTCTAACGTCAAAGCCTAAAACCATGAAATAACTGAAACGTGATTCATACATTATACATATCTAATGAAATTCATTGACCTACTTAACATATTCAATTTTGTTGGGCGGAAATCTGAAATGACCAAAGCATTTACTAGTTTATTAATATAACGTTTGTAATATCTAACATTGAATAGAAAAAAAGCATATAACGACAGTCAGGATCATTATCGCCATAAATTCTCACATTAGTTGTAGCTCTCGTTAACACGTGTAAGAGTTATCGCTTTGCTCGGAACGCGCACGCAAGTTGAACACGTGCAAATTAGCATTTACAAAAGCGAGCCACGAATTGAACGCCAGTACGTTGCAAACGTCGCACGCGTTCACTTAGACTCGCCCATCCGGTCCGGAAGTCCAACATATTGTGGGTACACGCTCTTTACATTCTCTTTCTCCCTCGTTCATCCTCAAAATTCTCTCTCTCCTGTATATGTACACAAGCCTTCGAAAATTGTTGTCGCGGCCTACTTGTGCACCACAGGGATCAACATATATTTTCAACAACAACAAAAGTAAGAGAAGCCACACGCGTTAAATTTCCATTTCCGGACTGCCTTTTGTCTCACGATTGGAGGTTAACGTGATCATTGGCTTATTTTTGGTGTGCGTGTGTGTGAAAGGTGAAAGTCGAAGGCTCGCTTTAGGACGCCACTCTATTGTCAGCCGCACTTTTCGATAGGGGTCACTTTTTCCGTTCGTCGAGTTTCATTTAGCATGAGAATGCCGGAAACCTTTCAATTAAAAACTTGTCATCGGGCTCTCCATTTTCATGTTTGGATAGTACAATCTTCCGTTAACTTTCGCAGCTTTCTAAAAGTTTTTCAACAAGTAACTTTTTTTCCACAAGTTGTTTCACTCAGTGGCGAACCATGCAAAATAATTTATAGAATAAGTTGTGCGTCATTTCACTATCAGTTGCGATCTACATTTCATTTTTCTTTACGATATTTTCAGTTAACACTGTTGTTCTATTTACTTTTACTAGTGGTTACTATGCGCACTACGTGCGCTTAATACTCGTCAAATTGTACTAAGCATTATAAATGATTTAAAATTCTCGCGTCAAATCATTACGCCATATTATCAAGCCAATCACATGCCCCAACCTTTTTCTCCAACTGATCAATCATAATCAATAGAGGCTTCACTTCTCATCATTCTTCTCTTTAGTAAGGATACTCCTCCTTAGTCAGGTGTTTAGTAAAGTAAATAGAAATCTTTGGTTTATATTTGTGGATATTTACTTAATGTCGGATAATGAATCCATACGCACACAGGCGCACGCGCGCATAAGCGCATATCATTTAATCAACGAATAAAAGTTGGGCAAGTTATCTTGTAAATAAAAATAATGGTCTGATTTTATAGATAGTTAGCTCTTATTAATTTTATTACAGAGTAGAAGTTCAGAATCTATTGATCTTCCAACAAGTAAGTAATTCATATAAAAACAACATTGTCGTCTACAACTATGGATATACTTTAAAGGTGCTTGTTGCTTATCGTTATATTTCAATAGAAAAAAGTTCGAGAGCATACATTCATCCGTGTAAATGTATATATACACACATACACACACACATATTTTTTTTTTTTAAGATTTTATTAAATACTTTTCTTAAAGACGAGCAATGGTTATGTGCATACATTTTTCATAATCAATATTAAAGAAATATAAAAACATTAAAATTGGTATTTTTCAAAAATACGAATAGTGATTATGTACATACATTTTTTTATAATCAAACGTTTTAATATATATTAAAAGTAATTTCAGCGTTACAGCACTCGCTTTATTAAATTCATCAAAAAAAGAGAGAGAGACGTTGGCAAGAGATTGATAGCTCATGGGCGTGAATACTTTGGATGCGTAAACATCGATTTTAGTTACAGCACTTACAGCTTATAGATAGCTTTTTGACTGATAACATACGCGATCAAGCATATTTCAATGAAAATCGATTTACTAAACATTTTAGGCCGCTTTTCACAGTCCACTTACCCAAATTAGTGTTGATGCATAAGAAGCGATAATCGTTGGCAATATTTGTGCTGCGGCAACTGTTTCTGTTACTACGACCCGATAACTTATGTAATCATAAATTGAATGTCATTGAATGAGGTCTTTCATCGAAGATGAATTTTAAAAAATAGCATCGTTAGACCGAAATAGAGTTTCAAAATTTTTGCTTTATATATAGATGATAATGTGATTTAAATAAGTAATAAATTCATTTATAATGAGCTGTGGCCATCTCAGAAGGTTAGGTACTTATGTAAGTACCAATGGCCATCGTATATTGCAAGTGAATGTACTTCCTACGGGAAGTGAATATCGCTGGTATTGAGTGTGAATACGCGTGTGTCTCACCTCGCACGCACCACAAACGTCCTGTGTTACACATACATTACACCGTTTACTCGGCGTGAGTACCATGCTTGCAATCGAGCTCGCAGCAAAAAACCGCAATATCCGCACCGAAAGTCATCGAGTTTGTGCCGCGACCTTGGCCGCTGGGATACACGACACGATTTTTCCGTTAAAATTGAATTTCACCTGCTCACAATCGCCGATGGGCTTGTTAAATAAAGATGATCGATCAATTGTTTTCTCTTTCGAAAACCATCGTGGCATTGGCGATGAACGTCAAGAAACGTCGAGACGAGCGTTTCCCTGCGTGGCGATTGCCACGCT